AACTTGGTTAGAAAAAAAATCCCGTTGTGACTGACAGGAATGATGGACAAAACTCCAGCGAGAAAAAGCCACGTTCACTGTCTCAGTTCTGCTCTTTTGACGGACTGACGGACTGTCCCTCTGTCTTTTATACGTCCATATTAACCAGGTGTGAGCGTATATCTGTGTCTCGTTTCTGAACAAAGGAACCGGAGAAGATGATGTCATCTTTTAGCCATTGTGTGTGTGTGTGTGTGTGTGTGTGTGTGTGTGAGAGAGAGTGTGTGTGTTGGCGGTTGGGGGGATTCTGTAATTATTACAGTCTGCGTTCTGAGGTCACCTTTCTCACACACGGAGAGGAGACACACACACACTCACACACTCACACACACTCACACATACACAAGAACTTTTCATCATCTAGACAGCGTCGTGTTGTTAATAATTTCCTTTCAAAAAGCAGCTTCACTAAAGGAAAAGTGGTAAATATTTCCCTACATGAATTAAAGGTCAAATACCATGACCGACCTGTCAGAACACACCTTTTTCTTTACACACACACACACACACACACACACACACATTGGTCTTTCTCATTTCGCATTCCCTAGCCCCTTAAGCTAACCTTAAACATCACAACTAAATGTCTAACCTTAACCATAAACTAAACCTAACTCTAACCTTAAAGCCTTAAACCAAGTTTTAACCCTCAAACTGCTCTTTGATGGTGTGAGGATCAAAATGTCCTCACAAAGCAGAAATGTTGTCTTTAAACAAAAATCTGTCAACACAACCATAGACAGACATTTACACACACACACACACACACACACACACACACACACGCACACACACGCACACACACACACCTACAATAATGGGTGTCAGCCATGAGTGGTTTTATTCACTTCATGGACGCTTATGAAATTAAACCTAACCTCAACAAGGAAAGAGACAAGTCGTGTGTGTGTGTGTGTGTGCGTGTGTGTGAGAGAGAGAAGCTGTTCATTCATCAGCATCTGTCATGATGTCACTGGTGTCCATACAGCAGCTCCTATACAGTATATTAGCCTCAGGGTGTGTGTGTGTGTCTGTGTGTGTGTGTGTGTGTGTGCAGACACTGAAACCACAGGTTGGCCAAATGATGTACAGTAGAAGTGCATGCACTGGAGAGAATTCCTCCTGTGTGTGTGTGTGAGAGTGTGAGTGTGTGTGTGTGTGTGTGTGTGACAACGTGTGATTATGATCAATCAGTCGACACACATTCTTAAGCCTTCACAAAACTGCATCGTCAGCACCCGAACCTCCTCTCACTCCTAACACAGACACACACACACACACACACACACACACACACACACACACACACACACACACGCTGCTGCTTCTTCTTCTCTCAGGGCAGCAAATTGTTAAACAAGCCTTTTCGTCACTGGAGAAAAAGAAATGCAAATTGTGGAATAGAGATGTTGAGGTCAGACTGAGTACACAGTCAGCCAGGGGAAATCTTGTGATTCATATACTTTTTGTGTGTGTGTGGCGAGGGTAATTCATTTGTGCTTGTGTGGGTGTGTGTGTGTTTTCTGTGTGCATTAGTACATCAGAAATACCTTCTGTGCGTGTGTGTGTCGTGAGTTAGAAACGGATGACTCAGCGGCGCTAGAATAAGATGGATGCTGGAGTTTAATGGAGGCTGATGGAGGTCGGCCTGCTGTGGCTGAAAAGCACTGAGACACCACACACTTAGCACGCACACACACACACACACACACTTAGCACGCACGCACACACACACACACACACACACACACACACACACACACACACATCACATTGTCCACGTAACAGTCCATAGTTCAAGGATGAACAACTGAGTTTTTAGGACTTTGGCTAATGCTTTGATTTAATTCTGGATTTTTTTTTACCCAAGTTGTTGAAGTCTGTAAAACACATTCACCTTTTCTTCTTCTTCAAAAGAATAAAAAGTTCAGTTAGTGGTTTCTTTACTGGGTTTTGGGAGAGGAGCTCCATAACAAACACTTTAGCCCTGACATATTATCAGCTTATGAGGCTGCTGCGGCTAACAGGTTTACCAACTCTTGCCTTTTTCCACGTCAGCGGGCGAGAAGAACGATGAACGTATGTCCAGCGTTCACTCTCCTTTTCAGATGCTCCTCTGTTTTTACCGACTAGTTACCAACTTTGCCGGTCTGCTGTTACGGTGCTGGAGAGGTAGAATGCAGTTGGTTTTTACTGGCGGATTTTTTTCATGCTAAAAACAGCTGCTGTTGTAAATTCATTTGATGAGAAGCCTTAATGTGAAACCAAAGCAATAAAAAAACAAAACACACTCGAAGTGCAGAGCTGGTGGTAATTCAGTGATTAAACCCTTTCACATTACATGCAGCCGTCTGATTATTAAGTGTTTATGTAAAAGCTGTTCATTGGTGGAAGTTTGTTTGTGAGTTGTTGAGTTTTAGAGTTTTTGTGTCTTAAAATAGTTTAAAAACTAAACTAAATCATAATAAATTCAACAAATGTCTTGAAAGGATTTGATCTCAATAAGCAGATTTGATGAAATGCCACTGAGTGAATTGCCCTTTTGCATTTTAAACATCGTCAGACTCGCACATTACCACAGAAACATTTCCCCAGTGGAGTTGGGCTTTTTGTGGTTGTAAATGAATTGCTAGTAAAAAAACGTGTCTCTTTGGAACAATTGCCTTCACTGCTCACTCATAAATACATATTTTGTCGCTGTAATACACCTTTATCTTTTCTAGTTTTTTAAAATAACTTTTTCTAATTTAAATATCCTGTTAATGGCCCTCGTTATTTTCAGTCTCCTGTCTGCACTGCAAACGGCTCTGTTTGTCTTTCCCTTCCTCGCCCCTTCGCTTCGTCACCGTTTCCCCTTTGTGTTTTGTGGCTGATAACGTTCGGCAGCAGCCCACCTCCACTTTAATTTGTAATTGCCAGTCCTCAAATTTACTCAGTGTCTACACTCGTCTCCCCTTGCACACTGCTGCGCCATTTAGATATCAACAAAACAGAATAAAAAAAGTTGTGTCCTCTCCCAGCATCTTTACCGCGTCTTTAATTCTCTGTTTGCTTCTTACGTCGTGAGTTTTGTCTCATGCTTACTTCTTTTTTTTTTTTCTTTTTGGACAGCTGACAGTTTTGTCCTCCTTCACCTTTCCATTCCCACACTGTAGTTCCCACAGTCGGGCACCAGCAGAGATTTGCTTCCTTGTCATCTTTGCAGTTCGCTCTCTCAATCAGCCTTGACCTTTTTGCCAACCCCATCTCCACACACACACACACACACACACACACACAGAGACACACACACACACACATACACACAGACACACACACACACACATACACACAGACACACACACACACACATACACACAGACACACACACACACACATACACACAGACACACACACACACACATACACACAGACACACACACACACACATACACACAGACTCACACACACACACATATATATATACACACTTGTCCCCCGTGGCTTAAACCAAAATGGGCTAATCCGTCATCACTCAAACTGTGGACTGCGCCAACTCATTCAGGAACAGGGGCCAGTGGCTCAGGTGTCGCTGTCCCGTTTCACACAAAGGAAACCTGATCATGTGGCAGTTCAGACACACACACACACACACACACACACACACACACACACACACACACACACACACACACAGGCTGCAACACATGATGCAGACTTGTGTGGGTTTGCACAGACGTTCACTCTCCCTGTGTGTTTGTCTTCCCTCTCCAGTTTTCCGTCTGTGAAAACATTTGAGATAGCATTGTTAGCCCACAGAGGCAACTGAGCCATTCTGGTCAAGTTGTAGAGTGAGAACAGGCTTCAACAGCAGGGTCTGTGCTGCTGTGTTCAACAGGCGTTACCGTACTCTACGTACGCATCTACATCTACCTATGGAGGCACATTAAATCCTCCTGGATGGTGTTTTCATTTTTAAGTCTAACTTGAAATCTTTCTCATTAATTTTGTATTTTTGAACGCTCCCTGAAAAAGAGGAGAGAGTTATGTTTTAATTCCTTGCCCACGCTGAAAACACCCGAGTCTGTTAAGGAATGCTGAAGGTTTGGAGCATCGCCCATGATTCTCCACACTATTGTGGAGGAAAATTGGTTGTTATGAATCTGGTTTTTGTTTTTATGACCATCTGCATCGGCCTGTATGTTTACTCAGCCCGTGACGCCTGGAAAGCTTTTTGATTCTCACCAACAATTTGCACAGCCATGACATCGGTCACTTTCTGGCTTCTTTCTGCAAAACTAAAAGAAAAGTACCGTCATTATTGTCATATTGTTGCTCTAGATTGTCCTATAACTGAGCTATTCATATCTGAACAATAGAGACACAGATTGGTAAATGGTCATGATGATGTGTGTGCTGCATGGTGGAAAGAAATTACAGGTTTACCTCGTCCTCATGTCTCTCTCTCTTCTGTTTTTCTCCAGGGTCGACATGTCAAGACGGGACAACTGGCGGCCATCAAGGTCATGGACGTCACCGAGGTCAGTAAACACAGATGTGTACTTTTAATATTTGTTGCTATTGGTCAAGTTTCCATCTAAATTTAGTATCAATTATAACAGAATTTTCCACCCATCCATTGAATACTGTTGTGTGAATATGAAGGGGTTGATAAACTTTGATAAAAGAGGAAGAAGGCGCAACAAGACGATGTAATTAACAGAGCGCCAGCCAAACCTCAAGATGGTGGAAATGTAGAAAACATAGGAATTATGGCTTTTGTTTCATGCATTCATTTGTGTACGTAACAGTTTCTTCATCACTCCACACAAATCTAATGTTTTCATCTGCCACTATTTCTTTTATCTTCACTGGAGCCGCAGCTTCAGACGTTGAAGTCACATCTTTCATGTATGGAAAGATTTAATTCCTGCGTCCTTTTTCCAATGCACTTTGTCGCATTTTCCTTTTATTGTTGCACCGAGGTGGATGGAAACAGAAGTCTCATCTTAAACTGCAGCTGCACTTGTTGAATTCTGTAAAAAAAAAATCTGAAATCTGATTTTTTTTCCTCTTTTCTATCATGTGTAGTGTTGGATGAAACAAACATTGACTCTTGTTGTGTGAGAGATGTCACAGTTTCACACAGCTATATTAAAATATCTCCGCTTTGAAGAGAGGATTGTAGACAGTAGTAACATAGATGCATGAAAAATGCATGAAGTGAGACTGCAGCAGTTACCAGCCTCAGCACAGCAGCCACAGAATACAGCTTTTGCAGATTTGGAATTGATCCCAAATTTAGATTCATTACATCTGACAGAATAAATCAGAACTAATTCTTTATTCAGATGTTCAGTTTAACAGTTAACACCAAAACAAACAGTTTCCCCGACTCCCCTTCCTCTCTCTGCTCTACACCCTTATGTCAATGTTTTCTCTCCAAAAATAGTCATAACGCTCAGACTTGTAATCACACAGCTTCCATCCTTCTTAGTTTATTGGATAAAGCTGAGTTTGTGTTTTAAAGCTCAACTGATTTCCAATTTCCCCAGGGCAGTTTAGGCAATAGTCTTAAAGATTGAACATTGGTGTCTGTGTGTGTGTGTATTGAAGCCCACGGGTGCATGCTGGCCAGCTTCCACAAAGTCGAGGAAGGACCCAGAGGGCTGTGTCTGCCTGTGTAATCGGAGCCTGTTTTTCTTGGATGTGTATACATGCACAAACGTCCTGGTAGTCTAATACAGTTAAACTGAATCTCACTACACTGATAATAATATTTGGCGCCTTTTGTTTTGTTTTGTTTTTTTTTTTCCCCCCTTCCTTTGGTGTTACTCATCATTGAATGAATAACGAAATGAGAGAATGAGAAAAGTATTCGCAAACACATACTTGAGGCCACTTGACCATTTCCTGCCCAGACGCCTTAAAGAGGAACGAGTGTATCATCAAGGCATGAAATCCTTTAATCTGGGTGAACCACTGAAGAGGATTGTGCTGTCTAACAGCATCTATAAAACCCCTGATAATTTACCTTAAGCTGTGTTTTTAGGGTGTTAAATGTTTTAGTTGAAATGTTTTAGTATGTTAAATGTTCAAATCCATCATCATTAAATAGTCTTGATACATATCTTAAAGGTTTCTCATAGATCAGGGCAGTGGTTTCTCAGCCTTGAAGCGAGACCTACTTGTGACTCCTCATGTCCTTGGTGTAGATATGAATTATGAGCAGTTGAACTAGTTTAACTAAGTTGCATGTTGTGCTCCTTCTAATAAGGACATGCTTTGTAATATTTACATATATATGGTGCACGGTACAAATTGATTCATTTGATATTTACAAAATCGATTGTTAATTCAGTGCTGCACTGACAATTTTTTGTTAAAACTATTTTACCTTTCACACTGTTTCATCTGAATGATTTTCAGAGACCTGAAGAGGTGAAAGAATCCAGTATTTCACAAGTAAAAATGATGTAAATCTAATTTTTTAACAGAAATATGTTGTCCTGACTTATCCATTTAATCATCTCATGACCCTCCTCACTCATTGTGGGACCTGTGAAGCGGTGCATTGATAAACCATCAACATTTTGTATCTCAAGTAGAGATGCTACATGAAAAGCATGTTACACACTCGATTTCCCCAGCACTGACACCTTGTTTTTGCTTAACTGACTCACCTTAAAATGATTGAAATTATTTAGTGGTCAAGCCAAACCACATCAACAAACCTCACCCTTATTAGTAATGTTATTCCATGCTCATCCTCAGTGTTGCAATCCCTGTGAATTTATCCAGCAGGACAATAGGAGGAAAGGAAAGAACTGTCTGCTGGGAGGTTGTCGTGACGACGATGATGATGATGATGATGATGATGTCGGACAGATTGTAGCCTTTTATGTAACAATGAGTATTGATTAGTCATGTAATCCATCATTTCCCTTCTAATGCTGAGTAAATGTAAACAACGTGGGGTTTAGTAGGAAGTTTTAATGTCAAAGAATTGTTAAATGCTTTTTTAAAGGGCTTCTCCACCTCTACTGAATATAATACAGAAAAACTATGATCCCAAATACAAGGAAATTCAATAATATTGTTACTGCTGAACCATCTGTGATGGTGATTAGTGAGTCTACCAGTCCTGTTGAAAATACTCAGGGTTTAGGAGTGTACCTCTTACTGTGACCTGCAGGCACAAATCTCCATCTCCAACTGTGGAGATTAGAGACAGGACATGAAGAAGGATCAGGAGCATTTGATGGGAATGTGTTTGTGTATTCATTCGAGCTCAACCCCTGAAGAGAAATACACATGTAGGGGATATTCAAGACATGACGGTTAATTTTTTTTTTTTTTCTTCCTTCTCCTTCAAAAAAATTTAGAGTGGTCCTTTACCACACAGTTCAGCCGTTTTCTAAAATAAACATTCAGTTTGTCTGGATGTTTGCCAAGAATGACGGTTGAGAAGAGGAAGTTGTTTGCAGTGGAAAAGCTTGAGATTTTCACATGCACATACACACACACACACACACACACACACACACACTAATCTCATGCAACATTTATTTGTGTGTGTGTGTGAGAGACCTCTGAATCTTTCCACAAGAGCCTTTCATACACTCACATGTCATAGATGCAAAACAACACAGCTATACATCTTCTTTCCCGTGTGTGTGGTTGTGTGTGTGTGTGTGTGTTTGTGTGTGCGTGCATGTCCACTGTCGGCTCCTTGTGCACTTCTCGGCATATGTGCTCTGACCCACATACCACTTCCTGTTCCATATACAGAGCAGCAGAGAGGAGGGGTGGGGAGGGGGGGGTGGAGACAGACACTGAGGAGGACAGAGCAAGTGGACAAGGAGCGAAATACAAGGGCAGGGCCGTGTAGAAAACATTTCATCGTGTCAGGCAGCATTAAATATACATGTTGTGATATAAATCAATTCAGTGTTAAAATTACTGTCACAAATGTGCATCTTGTGTATCAGCACTGTGTCTTTTGCAAAATAAAAACAACAGCATGTGTGATGTGTTAAGACTAAAATACGTCTTCAGGCTGAATATAGGTGAACATGCAGGAGCTGGAGACACTTGACAGGCTTTTCTGTTTATATAAAGGTGAAATGATTATTCAGTTAGTCAACAAAAAATTTACTTTGATGATACTTTAAGTCATTTTTGCAAATATTTGCATGTTTCAGCTTCTCAAATTTGAGAACTTGTTGCTTTTTATTGTCCTGCATTATAGTAAATTGAATATCTACTCTCGTGTTTTATGGAATGATAGAAGATTAATCTAAATTAATAAATTAAAACCATCTCATGTTGCACTGTGGATGTGTTTGACCTACAGTTACCCTGAACACCCTTCTCTGTGTAGGTTCACAGAGATGTTTACATGTATCTTTGCAAAAAACGTAATTCCAACTTCAGTTCTTTGTCTTGGTTCCAGCTGAGTGCCTCACTGCAGGGGCCTGTTGCAGGGGATGGGTCTAATTGCTGGTATGTGAGACTGAAAGCGTTGTCCCTCTTTAAGCTTTATTGGGTGATGCTTCGGGTGATAAACGTTTGTGGTGTTTTTCATCTTTTACATTTTTTTTATATCAACACTTAAAGGTGCTGTATGTAAGAATTTGCTGTTGCTGCATAGCCAACGTTAGCATTAACGGCCGTTTACTTAATGTTACAATACAAATTCATTGGTTTACTCATCAATTCTCTATTTCTATCACTGCTTTTATTTTCTGATAATGGTCGCTTCCCAAGAGCCTCAGCCATTTTTGCTTCTGCCATTTTATTCACTGATGAGAGGCAGCGCTACTTCTTCATCCTCTCATGTTGGATCTCACTATCGTTTCCTGAGGAACAAAGTGCTGTTACAGGTCGGGACAGGCCGGAGCTAGCTGCCTAGCATGCTAACTCCTTTAGATTATCCCTGCAACAAAACTCATAGACGTCTTTGGTATAACGTCAAAACTGTTATTTCTTCACATGCAGTTGATAATTTCAGTTCATTTGTGAATGTTTTAAACTAAAATACCTATAAACCACCTTTTAAAGTGTTTCTAAAGGAGCGCTCACTTCTTCCATCTTTCTGTCCAACTTCTGACACCAAAAAAAAAAATTGCAGTTGATGTGTTGATCTAACTCAACCCGCTGTCAGGAAGTCAGCTCCTGAAGGACAACCATATGATTGATGATAAATAGCACTGTTATCGTTTGTGCGGTTGGCTGTTTGTGCATCATCAAGCAGCGCGGCTTGTCGACAGTATATCAGAGTTTCTTATTTTCCTATAGGGAACGCTTGTGAACTTCTCTAAGTGTATGATTTTCTCTTTAATGTGTTGTAAGAGGAGAAAAAGGAAAGTCAGGGATCGAGCGAGTGAAACCTTAGACGGCGAGAGAGGGAACTTAGATTGGAGGAGAAATCCGCGAGGGAGTTTTTTTTCCCCTCTTTCCTCCTCTGTGAAGGTTCAGCTGAAGTGCAGTGGGATTATGGGAGGGTCTATTACTGCTCGCGTGCTTCTCTCTTTCTCAT